TTGGACAGAACCCTACAGAAGCAGAGTTACAGGACAGGATTAATGAAGTAGATGCTGATGGTAATGGTACAATTGACTTCCCTGAGTTTCTGACAATGATGGCAAGAAAAATGCAAGACACAGATAGTGAGGAAGGAATTAGAGATTTGATAAGGATGTATTTGATATGTATTTGATAAAGATGGCAATGGTTATATTAGTTGCAGCAGAGCTTCGCCATGTGATGACAAGCCTCGGAGAAGAGTTAATGAAAGAGTTTTGGCCCAGACAGGACACTGTAGCCGGTGAAGCCTTAGAGGTGGGACCAAGGAGCTCCTATCTCCCCCGCCCCTAGGAATTTACCTGTGACGCCATCTTCCCTGCCCCTAGGAATTTACATATGGCGCCAAACACAGACCAATGGGCTACCCGTGCATCCCGAATGCCCCACTTTGGTTCCACCCCAAACCGAGGCTACTTATATACCTGCCACGCCACGTGTCCGCCAGAGAGAAAGCCGGACTCCAGCGGTCCGGGTGTTTTGGTTTTCTCTCTCCTCTCTATTCTTCTCAGAATAAAGGCCTCTTTTGTTTTATACTTCTCATCTTTTGGAAATAATCTTATCAGTTAATAGATGAAGAGGCTGATGAAATAATCAGGGAAACAGATATTGATTGTGATGGTCAAGTAAACTATGAAGAGTTTGTACAAATGATGACAGCAAAGTGAAGACACTGTACAGAACGTGCTAAATTTCTTGGACAAAAGTGTTTATTTGCCTTTTCTTTGTTTGTAACTTACCTGTAAAAGGTTTTCCCCTACTGTGAAAAAAATATTCATCCATACTAATTAGGACTTCATTCCTCCATGTTTTCTTCCCTTATCTTACTGTCATTGTTCTGAAACTTATTTTAGGAAAGGTGATTAAATAACATGTTGTGGCTTACTTTGGATATATCTAAGCCCTTCTGCACATCTAAACTTAGATGGCGCTGGTCAAATGAGGGAACATCTGGGTTATGCCTCTTTTTAAGTAGTGTTCTTATGGATCTTCAGCATGCTATTGTTAAAGTGTGGAGATGTAACTCTGCATGGACTACAGACAGTCAACAATACGTACTTAAAAGTTGCATTATTGCAAAGCAGGTGTATTATCCAGGTACTCGTATACTGTTATTTTATACTGCTTGTCTTCTACCAGAAACATTTTCTTTTATTGTTACTTGCTTTTTAAACTTTGTGTAGCCACTTTTAAAAAATCTGCTTATGGCACAATTTACCTCAAATCCATTCCAAGTTGTATATTTGTTTTCCAATTTAAAAAATTACTATTTACCAAAAAAAAGGAAACCACCCAAAACTATTCGTAGACAAAGAACTAATATGCAGAACATATAAAGAACAAAAAAAAAAAAAAACCCAGATCACTTCAAATTTAAAGACCCAGTCCAAAAATGAGCATTTGAAATGAATGGATATCTTTCAGATAGTAAAATACAAAAAGCAAATAAATTATAAAAAAAAATTCAATATAACTGGTCATTTGAGAAATGCCAATTAAGACATCTCAATCCAGAAAAAAATGAATCTTATCCAGAAATCACCAGACGTGTTGCTGCAGGTCTATAATCCCACAGCTCGGGAGGCTGAGGGAAGAAGATTGCTGGGAGTTTGAGTCCAGCCTGCACTACATAAGAAGTTCAAGGCCAGCCTGAACTACATGGCAAGACCCTGTCTCTAAAAACCAGAACAAACAAACAAAAGAAATCAACCAATAACAAATGCGGGTGAGGATGTGGAGAAAAAGGAATCCTTGTCCATTGTTGGTGTGACTGTAAATTGATGCAACTACAATGAAAATCAGTGAGATTCCTCAAAAAACTAAAACTAGAGTTTCCATTTGACCCAGCTATTCCCTTTCTAGGTATCTTCCCAAGAGTTAAAGCATCATAGCACAGTGATGTATACATACCCACATTTATAACAGCACAATATATAATAACTACATCTTTGAAACATCCCTTATGCCAACTGAAAGATGAATGGATAAAAAAATGTGGTACTTATATAACATGGAGTACTTTTCTGACATAAAGAATAAGCAAGTCATTTGTACGAAAATGGATGCACCTTAAGACCATAATCTTCAATGAAATAAACTATATACAAGCTTAAATATTGTTTTGTTTCTCTTGCATGAGAAACCCAAAGTATAACTAAGGAGTATAATGGAAAATAGATAGTGGGAAGTGTGGGGGACCACCTGGACAACTCTCCTTGAATGAAGAGCAATTTTCTCCATTTTGGCTATACCTGACCCTGTTTCCATGTACTGATATGTACAGAGCTGGGTAGGCTATTTCTTATCCCTTCAACTGGTTTAAGCAATGTAAATTAGGCTGGCTGAGGTGCTGGTGTGTAATCTTTGAAGCCAGATGACTCCCAAAAAATATGGTTGAGCTGGGTGGGATGAAAAGCCATGGCTCCAGGGCTATCACCTGGGATCAACCTTGAGATAAGAGGTGTAGGTTTCCCAGGACAGAAAAGTTTATATATCAGAACTGAAGCACTGGCCCCAAAACATTAGATGCTACTTTAATTGTGTTATAGACTATAGCCTTTCTGTACATTCTCCTCTCTGCACATTGTGGAGGTGCTTTCGGGTCTCTTACCTAGTCCAGTTCAGAGTACTCAGCTATTTCCCAGCATTCTCACGGTCACTCATCCTCAAATCACTCCCTTCTACACAGATTAAAATCCAGGTTGGGCCCTGGGTTGAGACCTTTGTTCCGATGAACCTTCATCCTGGCCAGACTTAGAACCCCTTGGCTCCCCATAACTGTAAATATGTCTTAGTGTCTTTATTCTCGCTGTGGGTTGCACTAGAAGTGGTAGATTAAAATTAACTTATTGGAATTCCTATAACTTTTCCATGGGATTACAAATATCGACTTCCTGGACAGAGACAAGGTACAGGATAGGCTCTCCATAGGGAAGTAGGAAGAACTTGTTCAAATGGGAGGGTAGGATGAAAGGAAAAAAGGGGAAAGAGGATGGAAGTAAAAAATGGGGTAGGGGAAGCTTTGTAAAAGGGAGGAGGAAAAAATACTGAAGGGAGGGGAGGAGAATGGAGAAAGAAAGAATTAAAATGTATTATACACAGGTGCACTTTCCTTCTGATGAATGTGATCCATATGTATGACAAATATGTAATAAAAAATAAAGTATAAGAAGAGCAGAAAGTTGTCCTGCCTGCTCTTCCCAGGAGGAGGACCTAGTCAAGTTTCTTTTTCTCCTCCTCCTCTGGTGTTTACTCCCTCTGTACCCCTCCTACTGGAAGCACTTCCTAAGTTACAGGGATCAGCTTCTAATAAATTCAGGAGCATTCTGAGGCAGAGATTCCCTGTTCCAGCTCTGTGGTCTATTAACTCTGATGCAGACTTAGCCATGTCCCTATGTGTTGCTCAGACTTCTGCAACAGGCCCATTTCCAGTCTGTCTTGTTGGTGATTTCTCAAAAACTAAAAGCAAAAATTCCATTCAACCTAGCTAGTCCCCTTTTAGGTATCTTTCCAAAAGAGTGAAAAATATCATATTGCAGCAGTACACACTTATGATTGTTTATAGCAACAAAATTCATAATAACTAAATCTTGGTAGAATCCAGTATGTCCATTAACAGATGAATAAAGAAAACATGATATCTATATATAATGGAATACTACTTGACTCTAAAGAAGGATAGATTTGAAACATTTATAGAAAAAAAAATGGATTCACCTTTAAAACACAATGTTAAGTAAAATAAATCAAACACACAGGCTTAAGTACATTTTTTTTGGTACCAGGAATGAAACTCAGGTCCTTGTGCTTGTCAGGCAAGTGCTGGGTCACTGAGTGACATCCCTGGCCCTTGGCTTAAATACTGTATGGTTTCTCTCATATAAGGAAATCAAAGCAAGAATAAAGTAAAGAGCAAGCCAAAATACTGCCCCAAAACAAACAAGGAGATAGGTCTTTAGCAAATGAAAAGGGGGCCAATATGCTGAGGACCGGGAGGCGGAGAGGAAGGGGGAATTAAAAAGATTTAAGATGTGTCATGTACATGAACTAACTACCCACAGTGAATGTACTCATTATATGTTCCAAGCATGAACTAAACAATAATAAGAATAAGAATAGTGAAAATTGGAAAAAGGAATCTCGAGACAGAGGGAGGAAGGTGAGGAGGTAAAGGGGAATAAAAAGAATCACGATTTGTTATGAACATGTATTTACTCCCTATGATGAATGGAAACAACATGTATTATAAACATACACTAATAAAACATTTTAAAATTAATAAATAAGCTAGGTTTTGTCAATTTTTCCATGCCTAATTTCAATGTATAGTCCTGGAAAAAATCTCTGAATATTTAAAAACTGGCTCTCTGGCTCTCTAGCCGGTTCTGCCACATCACCCTGTGTGTGTGTGTGTGTGTGTGTGTGTGTGTGTGTGTGTGTGTGTGTATGTGTGCGTCTGTCTGTCTGTCTGTCTGTCTGTCTGTCTGTGTGTCTGTATATGAAGCTCCAGATCTTGCCTCTGCTTTTGACCACAGCAGCTCAGAGTCCGGTCTCTGTCTTATTTCTCGGGCATCTCTTCCTCACCTCACCTCTCCACATCACCCAGCACACAATCCAATGTCCCTGGAACACTCTCTGCTCCTGTCTTCTCATCCCCACACTTCTACCCGCTGTTTCCTCTGCCACAGTCTCTTCTCCCTCATACAAGGCCTTCTGGCTGCCTCAGACAGCACCAGGAGGCCACTTGAGGAAAACAGTACCAACCCGGCCTCTTTCAGAGCCTCGTTGGAGTGTGAGAGGTGGGCAGCAGATGTTTTCTGCATTTCCCATGTCTACCTGGGAATCACAGATGTCCCCACCTAAGCCACCAAAATCCCCAACAGGGCCGAGTTTCCCCAGTAAGCGGTAAACCCCACCCGGCCACATCTGCCCTGGGAATGACCTTCCAAGGAAACGAGACTCACAAGCTGCTCCTTTTGCTCAGGCTGTTCGGAGAGCTCCCGAAGTACTCAAACTTGAGGATGAAAGAAGTCTGAACTGGTGAGTGATTATTCAGGATGAGCTGGCGATTCACACAGGTCCTCAGTGGCACCATCGAGCCAAAGTCCAGGTGGAGCTCTTCCGGGTGGCCTGGCCACTGTTTTGCGCTGCAAACACTGCCCCATGCCCATGGGCACTGGGTTACCATCTTTGGAATTTCTCAGAGGGCCACCCATGGTGATAGTGCCAAGAAAACCGGCCACGACCTCAATCTCCCACCCATAGCGCTACCAACCCACAGGCCCACCCTTCCTGTCTGCACATTATTCCCCAGGAGGCCTCAAACTCTATACAAACTGTTCCTGCTTGGCAGACCAGCATGCCTGCCACTTGCTGGGGAAACTCAATGAGCCCACAGCCCCCAGCCCTGTCCCTGCTGTCTCCTACCTGCCTAGACACCATGCATTCTAATTTGTGTAGAAAGATCACACAGGAAGATGGGGAGAGGTAAAGGTATCTGCTACCCCAAGAAGTGGAAAGGGCCTGGAATTACTCTGTGGTCTTCTTCCAGCTGCAGGAAAAAGCTGAGAGTGAACTGGCGATACAAGGAAACACTGGTCCTCTATGTGGATGTCATCTGCTATCAAAACCCTCTGTAAAGATGGCAATGGCCAGTTGCAGTCCCTGAGGCTCCCCTGAGATACCCAGGACAAATAGTTTCTTCATGCTTGATGTACAATAAGGGAAGTTCAGCACATCTTACAAGAAACCCCATCCAAGAGTCAGACACAGGCTGGGGCCTCAGAAGATGGGCCCAGATGGTCTCCCATGGCCTTGTGCTTTGTGAGTAGCTCAACATGAAGGCCTTAACTTCTCTCTAGGAAGGGCTCTGCAGTGCCTCCAGTGAGCCAGCTTGTCAACTAACACCTGACCTGGAAAGGCCTGGTTCCTTCCTCAGGCTCCCTGGGCCTGCCCAAACATGCCTGCAGGAAAGACAATCCTTCAAAGTGGTCCCAGAAAGCTGTACAATCTCTCAATGAAGCTGCTACTATAGACACTAAAGCCTCCCTGAGTGAGGTCTGTTTCCACTTCAGGCTTAGGCCCACCTCCCTGTCATCCAGGAGCTCAGACTCAGCCATATAAGGAAATTCACAGGCCCCATGTTTGCCAGTGAGGAACTGCAACCTAAACCTGCAAGTATGTGCAAGAAAGAAGTTTCTCGTCCAAGGTGAACCACCCAAGTACTGAACCAACCATCTTAGTTACTTTTTACTCATTTCTGAGACAAAATACCTGATGCCCAAAGTTGGGAAAGGAAAGGTTTATTTCTTACAGATTTTGGAGGTTTCAGTCCATACTCAGTTGGCTCCACAGCAGCGTGACATGGCTGGGCCGCAGTTCATGGTGGCTGCAAACAGCAAGGGGAAACCAGCAAGAAAGCAAGACACAGCTTCTTCCTGCCATTACACTGTATGCTGGCTCCATCCCTATGTGGGTGTAGAACTGATACCATCAGTCCAGGTGCTAGATAATGAACCAATCACAAATGCATAATGCAAAATGCATGAGGCCTGGGGGCCACCGACATAAATCATGACACCACCCAGCTCCAATGGCTTCTCTCTAGGCCACTATAGGGAACAGCTATGACTCTCCTGGGAGGTTCCTGGCCACCAGTTGGTTAGCTCTACTCTAGGTGTCTAGGAAAATTGGAAATGTGGGCCCCAGCAGCCATAGAGTATGTTCTGGAGAAGGCATGTCGAGGCACATAGAGGCCTGCTCCAGTCTCTCTGCCACTTTGTCCCTAGAGAATAGGGGACCCTAGTCAGATACAAAAGATATCCCTTCCCCACCCACAAGGACCTGGAGCAGAGTCTAAGGCAGGTATTCCCTGGAGACACAGATGCAGCCTGTTGGCAGGATGCCTTCCCAGGCACTGGGCCACGTTGCCTTACTCACCTGGGTATGAGCTGTGAACTCCAAGACGAACTGGCGCTCCTCACTAGGGCCCAGCAGGCCACGTCTAGGGGAAACTGTCACTGTGCAGGAGGCTGCTTGGTTTCCCAGGAGCTGGTAGAAATAGGACCAGAGCTGTGGTCTTCTGTAGAGCTCCCAGAATGGACCAGGACCCAGACAGAATGATCAGGAGAGGCTGGCAGACTAGGAACTACAATAGGACACACAGTGCTGGGAGCTCACTTCTAGGATAAACCTCAGGTCCCGTCCCTGCTCTGCATCCCCGGATGGACATCACCTCCGTCAGAGTGTTACTAGACTCAATAAGCTGTCCTGGAAGGCCCAGAGTGATGGGAACAGAGGGTGCTGCTGCAGATGCACAGAGATGCAGCCCCATCTCCCACAGCACTCAGAGTAAGTTCCACAGGGGCAGTGCCACAGCTGGGCTCCCAGCAGCTGTGTGGAAGAGCTGCAGACAATGCTGGCTCAGGGACTCTAGCTGTGTTCACACCAGAAACTCCTTCATGGTGGGGACTGGGGTTCCCTAAACACCAAGCCATGAAATGCCTGGCCAGTTGTGCTGTTCCTTTGTGGAGCTGAGCTTTTCTGGGCACTGTGGAGGGACTGACTGTGGGACTGAGGCTGAAAATCTCTGCTGGGAGCTCCGGAGGGGCCACATGGGGCTGTGTTGCTGAGGCTGCGGTCTGCTGCCCAGCGTACAGGCTTGCTCACCTTGCCCCAGTGGAACCGGGTGGGGAGGAGCGTGCTGTTGATGAGTGAGAGAGTCGACTTTGTGGGCACGTCCAGATAGAGGCTGCTGAGTTCCACCTGGCTGTTCTGCAGGTACACGTGGGGCTCCTGGATCTCAGCACACACAGCCACGTAGCTAGAGTGCAAGGACATGAAAGGCATGCTGATCAGAAAGGAATAAAACTGTCCCTGGCATGATGAGTATGATGAGTATGTAATCCTAAGGAATATTATATATATATATATATATATATAGAGAGAGAGAGAGAGAGAGAGAGAGAGAGTTGTTGAGTGCAAGGACATGAAAGGCATGCTGATCAAGAAGATATAAAGCTGTCCTTGATGTGATGACCACATAATCCTGAGAAATCTACAATAACAAAGTCCTAGAACTAATTTAACAAAGTTGTATAAAAATCAACCACATTTTTATATACTAGTAACAATATATGGAAACCAATTAGAATATAATTCCATTTATAATTGCTTAAAATTGAAATAGCAATGAGAAATTGTATGGAGAACACTTTGGACCTGTTTCAGGATGGTTACTACCCCACTTGTACCAGTCAAGCTGGATTGTCAACTTGATTGACTTGAGAGTCATCTATAGAATTAATAAAGCACACTTACAGGTGTTTGTTAGAGTCATGGAAATGTGACTCTGGGGACTATATCTGGTCACTGGCCTCTGACACTGGCCCCCTGGTAGACTGCCAAGCACCTTGGAACACTCTTCTCCTCCCAATGAGAAAGCCCCGTGGGGACTACTGGCCAGGGTAGGTCTTCCATGCCATTAGCTCAGCCACTGCAACTCTATACTTGGAAGTTCCCAATCCTATAAGTTCCCAACCCCAAAAGATGCGTTCTTCTGTCTACAGGTCACACCTATCAATCATTCCATATTCATCTCTGAATGAGAGGACGCAGAATGAGACAAAAAGGCCAACTTACCTGGATTCGTTTACCATCAGATTTTAAGAACTCTCCCACACTTTTTGGGGAAGCACTAGCTACTGACTTTTCCTAATTGCCTCATTCAGACTTTAATGGCATTCTTGCAATATGTGGGTGATACTATGATGTGCAAAAATTAGACTCCTGGAAGGGAACACAGGCCCTTCTCCGCCACCTACAGGCCACAGGCTATAAAGTCTCCTGGAAGAAATCAAATTCATGGACAAAGTGTGTTACTTGGGATTTGACTTACGAAAAAACCTCAGGTACCTGGGCCCACAGAGAAAAGTCATTTGCTTCATTCCAAGGCTCCAAAATAAAAGACAGCTTAGAGGATTCCTGGGCACTGCAAGTTTCTGTTTAATTTGGATATTGGAGTTCACTGAGAAAGCTAAGCCTCTGTATGACATGCTGACAGGAAAAGAGAACTGTTAAATCAGACTCAAAGCAAACTGAATCCTTCCAGATCATAAAACAAGCACTGCTAACAGCCCGAGAATAGGTATTCCTGGTGTGACCTGTTTGCTGATGAATGAAGCTATGTAGCATGGGGGATTCTGACCCAAAAGATTGGCCCTCAGGAGAGGCCCATCACATACTTGTCAAAGAGCCTAGACTGTGCTAACGCTACCTGAGAGCACTGGTGACAACAGTCCTTCTGACCAAAGAAGCTGACAAGTTAGCCCTAGGACAAAATCTAACAGCTCAACTCCATCCCACATGCTATTCTGGAGTTGTTAAACAGTCAGGGACACCACTGGCTTTCAAATAGCCATGTTACTCAGTATCAAAGACTGCTTTATGAAAATCCCTGACTCTTTTTATTTGACTAAACCTCTTAACCCAGCTACCTTCTTGCCCAATGAGCTTGGCACCCAAATCAGGACTCTCTAGCTTTGACTGACAAGTTTTTTGCTAGGAGAACATCTACAGGTGGAGCCTCTCTTTGATGCTGAGTATACCCTCTTTATGAATGGAAGTAGCTCAGCCAAAGATGGGAAACATCAGGCTGGATGTGCTGTTGTTACTATGGAGCAAATGTTCCTAACCAGACCTCTTCCACAAAACTGGCCTGCTCAGCGAGCTGAATTATGGACCTTGAAACAAGCTCTTAATTGGGTTTCATGACTAGATTAATGACCACAAAACTTGGTACAGTCAGGCACCCTATATGTTTAGTTATGTCCTGATGGTAACAAAGCTCAAGAAAGCAATTATAAAGTTATGAATCTGTTACAGAGCTAGGCAGCTTCAAAGAGGACAAAGTTTTAAAAACAACAATATTTCCTAGTACAGTTTTCCCTTTCATTTTACTCTCTTGTTGTTACTCAGAAAAATATTTCTCATTGTTGTTTCTTTCTAAAACTGCATAAGAAGGAGTAGCCCTCGGGGCCATTTAGACAATTATGCTGTGGACATTCTGAAACAAAGTGAGTAACCCAATAAGCAAGTTTCTGTCAGAAGAATTAACTAAATGTTTTTAGGGGCCCTAGCCATGGTCTCAAGTCAGATAGACCTTGAAACCAACCTGCTTCTGATTTCATTCTTTGGTCTGGTTATCTAATCTCTCTTGCACTTGTTGCAGACCTTCTTGTTCTATTCCAGACTTACTAGCATAGGAACAGCAGTTTTCTCTATGGCATTGCAAACTCCTCTTTTTTGTGGAAAGACTAAATCTAAGCCTCTTCTATTTTGAAGGACAACTTCAGCAACAGAATCTCTTTGGTCCTGTAACAATGACATTGTATCATGTAAACCTTGGAGTTTGCAGTCAGTGGCCTCAGCTAACTGATTTAGTCCCATTTTCTCAGTGACAAGACCACTTGTCCCCAGCCCAACCAAACCAGCTGGGCTCATCCCAACCAGGATCAGTATTATCAGGATTGGATGGCCCTCTTAAACCTATGAGAGATTTTGGGGTCCAGAATACCTATTCTTTGGTACCAGGGATCAAACTCATGACCTCATGCTTGCCAGGCAGGTGCTTATGCTGCTGAGCTAAATCCCCAGCCCCAGGATACTCATTCTTTCCTCTCCCTTATAGGCTTGTACTTGTGGTAAAATGATAACGAGGGCATGGGTGCCTTTTTGGGTACTGTCCAGCCATGTTCTTACCCCAGCAGGATAGGCAAAATGAGTATTGTTAGCAGTGGTCAGACTCCCACCAGGGTGATGGGGTGGTTCAAATGCAAGGATGGAATGGTCGAGGTACCTGTCAGGAGAACACAAGTTACATTTCCACAAACAGGTAGAGAAGCCAAAACACAAGCTGAGTTTTTACATTTGTGTGAGCTTCTTTGAGAAAGTACATATGTGGGAACTCCATAGTAAAAGAGAGGTACAGACTTCAGACAAAGCCAACAATCAGAAGCAACATCTGGGAGCTACTGTTCAGGACAGTGTGAGCAGACTGTAGTACATGTTCCATGTCTGGGGGAATTAGGACTTCCTCTTTTATTTCATTCTCACCAGCCTTTATCAGGTGAAGCTCAACAGAGGCTTGGGCTGGCTCTACTTGATTTCCCTTGGTTAAATTGAACAGAGACAAAAATCCAAAACCCAGTATTAAACACAGAAATTATATATGTTTTGTTGTTGTTGTTTGGTACCAGGGATCAAACTCACAATCTCATGCCTGCTAAGCAGGCGCTTATGCCACTGAGCTAAATCCCTGGTCCTTTTTTTTTTTTTTTCTTTTGTACCAGAGATTGAACTCACAACCTTGCACTTTTCAGGTAGGCACTTATACCACTGAGCTAAATCCCTAGCCTGATAAATGCAGTATCTACAATTAAATGATAATGCCAATACAACATACCAGAACTTATGGGACATGATGAAACAGTCCTAAGAGGAAAATATATAGCAGTGAACTGTCAAATAGGGAATTGAAAAAAAAACATATAAAGAAGACATTTCTGTGGTTACCCAAGTGTCATGGTTTATGTCTGTGGTCCCCAGGCCTCAGGAGTTTAAATTGTACATTTGTTATTTGTTCATTGTCTAGTGCTTGGATTGATGGTGTCAGTGCTACAGTCACATAGGGGTGGAGCCAGGATGTGATGTAATGGCAGGAAGAAGGTGTGTCTTGCTCTTCATTGGTTCCGGCTTGCTGTTTGCAGCTGCCATGAACTGTGGCCCAGCCATGCCCGCCTGCCTTGAAGCCAACTAAGTGTGGACTGAAACCTCCAAAAACTGTAAGAAATAAACCTTTCCTTCCCCAACTTTGGGCTTCAAGTATTTTGTCTCAGTGACGAGTAAAAGGTAACTAAGACACCAAGTCAGTCAAGGAACCAGAATTTTTCATTATCCATAGATGCTACTGCATATCTAGATGGACCCTGAAAATCTGCAATGGATAGAATGGCACCTTCATTGTGTAAGAAGAGATGTAGTAGTTTTCAGGAAAAGGGATCAAAAACTGCTTAGGATCTTTCTCTTTTTGGAAGGAGTATTCTTCATTATTCTAAAAGCTGAAATAGTCAACTGCAATGTAAGAAAAACAGATCATATGAGAATTCTAAAGGTAGAAAACAGATACAGCAATGAGAGGTATGGAAGGATAACACTGTTGGGAATAAGAAAAGCATAATGTGGAGATTCTGGGAAGATGGTGGAACAGTAAGCAGCAAAACAGTCCAGATGTTGGAATATAGCATTCTGGAGGAGTCCAGAAGCAAAGAAATGGATCCCCTCAACCCAGAAGAAGCTAAAGTGAAAAAAAAAGAAAGAAAAGAAAACCTTAAACAGAATGCAGTAGCCAGATGCACTTTCATCAGAGCCAGTCCTACGGTGTGCTAAACACCACTGGAATCTGGGGACGCACGTTCACTGTGAAGTGGGGGTTGGCAAGCCTGAGGGTCTCAGCAGGAGGACATGGTCCCAGAGGGGGACAGTGGACTGGAGAACAGCACTGGCTGGTGGTGAGTGTGGGAGACTCAGTCTTCCCATGGGAGTGGCCAATTGGCCAGGCGACATTTTGGAGTTGGGCAGGATAAGCCCAGAACCAGAACTGCAGCCAGCTTCATTCAGCCACTCCTAGTGCAGAGAAGATTGGTGAAAATTTCTTGGACTGAGTCCCACCCCTATGCATGATCAAATAGCCAAGGCTGACATTTCCCTAAAGCTATCCCTAACCTGCCCCAACCATGCGGCACACACTAATGTGGTGAAGACTTCCAGTGGTTAACCAGCTCAGAAGGGAAGGTCCAGC